GTTGCTTCCCGTGAAAAACAAAAGACGGAAACTACCCAGTCCTCTCCCACCAGGGATATTTTGGCGCACGTGCGCATTTTGCATGACAACTGTTTAGTTCAATGCCACACGAATTTGATTTTCGTTTTGTAGCTGCGCCTGACCGACATTTACCCTCTTGTATCGTTGATATTTAAGGTTCAAGCTTTCAGTGGCCCAGCAACAATATGGCTGACTATTTGATAGCTGGCGGGACAGGTTACGTGCCTCAAGACGGAATGACGGCCATGCAGTTATTTGGTGGTGGCGAAGGTTTGACCTACAAGTAAGTTTACTGAAATGTTCTTTTTGCTTTCTTAGTCCTTCGTGGAAATTCAAGGTCAGGCAATGTTTATTAAATTTTCTGAAGGTAAAGAACGGGCTTGAATTGCTGCAGTTAAGTCGCTGCTCACAAAAAGAACGCTCGCATGTTTGGCTTCAACAAGGAACCAAAAACGTGGTCTTCTATCCGTACGTGGCACGAAATAAATTTGGCTTCTTTCAATAAAGTTTCATGTATGGCCTCAGCGTCAGGTTTCAACGACCAGGGGCCGATGCAGTACTTATCTAGTTCTTTTCCGAGACCTCTACACTGGCAAAGTGTCATATAACTTATAACCTTTAAAAATAGACAAATACACAGCTTGTAATTCGTATTTTTTTATGCTGAAAATTCGTGCGTGTTAGTCACGGAGGATGCCTTTTATTTGTGTGTTAAAGATCAATCATGCGCGAGATTTGAAACCAGTGTCGTCACTGAGTATATTTAGAGTCGCTCACCGCCAAATTTACACAATGACCGCAATGTTACACCGTTGATAAACACTGTGTAAACAAGCTGGCTCCTTCTGTTCAATCTTTAGATTTCCAGCAGTAATACCACCAAATTATCATGAAACGTTCTCCAGACTCTGCTTGATTACTTCATGCTCTGTTCTGCAAAAAGTAAATGTAAGATTGCACAAGAGGTCTGTTATGTACTTTTCCCATCTTTCCAGGCCAGTTTCATGGCTTCTTTCCTGAAAATAAATTTACCATCAAAATATAAGGTGCTTTCCCAAACTGATGGAAATAACAGCTTCGTAACTTACTGGCTGGGGCTGTTCCAAAGGTGGATAACGCTATCCACTGGATAAATCACTATCCAGTGATAGAGTAGTTTGTTTTGTGAACACTTATCCACTGGATAGCAATTTATCCGGTGGATTGCATTATCCAGCCTTCGAACAACTGGGGTAAGAAGTGAGATGGTTCCGAGTTCCCCTTTCGTTGGTTTTTTTTTGCAGTGTTGAAATAATTCCGAAACAGCATATAGGTCAGCACACACGAGGGGACAAGTCCCTGCGACTAGGCCTTGCAACAAGTCGCGGGGACAAGTCCCATCGGGTGAACTGGCCATTTTTGTGTCAAAATCTAGTCGCAGGGACCAACTTTCCTGCGACTAGTCCCACAAATTCAAACCAGTTTAAATTTTTGGGACAAGTACCTGCTACTTGTTCCTGACAAAACGCTTCGTGTAAACTGTTCGTGGGATAAGTCCCTGCGACCAGTTCCTTTGTGTAAACTCTTCAGGGGACTAGTCGCAGGGACTATTCCTTTTGTGTGCACCGACCTTATTCCAACATAAGCTAACATGCAGCATATACTAAAACTTGGACAATGGATGATGGACTCTGAACGATGGCAGATGGGTGTCGCAAAGTGATTAATAATTTGCGTGACACAACTGCAATATAAAATAGACAGCTTGTTACAGATTCTGTGACTAGGAAGTCACAAAGTGATTAATTGCTTACCATGGTATAGTCCATTGTCCATTGATTCAACAACCAACGCATTCATATGCACCCAAACCATCGGCAACAGGTCCAGTGTGCCTGAAGAAAACTCCAGCAAGGAACCCATCATGATCACCATTCTGTTTAAAAACCGACGATTGGCTGACAACACAAGGAGTCAGCTACAGTCCTTGAGCTGCAAAATTGGCATGTGCATACAACCAGTGTTCACAAGCTGAAAAATCGGAGACTTTCAAAAACCAGGGAACAGAAACCAAAAACACTGAACAATGCGTTGTGTACCATTGTAAATGTGGTCTGTGTGATATGGACTATGTTGGATACACCAGCCGACACTTACATCAACCTATTGTTGAACACAGTACCCTAAATTCGTCGATTCAAAAGCACATGTTTAACATGCACAGAATCTCAAAAGCGGTTTTAATTAATAACTTTTTAGTGTTGAAAAATGCCACAACAAATTTGATTGTCTTATCCACGAAACATTAATTATTCAAGATCTCAAGCCAACTTTGAACGTGCAAACTGACTCTATCCGCGCAGAACTATTTACATACTGTAATGTCTATTATACTACAGTCGAGCCTCTCTAATACGGACACCAAAGGGATAGAGCGAAGTGTCCGTATAAGCTAGAGAGGTGTCCGTATTCAGGAGAGGCCACTATGATGTCACTTTAAGTCTCCACTGACAGTTTAGAGTGTTTAGTAACTAAAATCAGGCTTAAAAGTGACTTGTTCTGGTACTGGTATTGCTGAATGATAAAGTGTCAATATTTGTGTAACTGCCGACAGAAAATGGTACACACTGCAAATTATCGACTCTGGGTCCCCGGAGTGTTTATAATAAAGAGGTTAATTTTGCATAAATGTGCTCCTTAGGGCCGAGATTTAGTGTCTGTCGTCCGTTTTAGAGAGGGTCCATATTGTAGAGGTTTTTTTTGAGGAAATGTATGAGGATTTTGTCAGTACATAGGAAACTATCCGTATGGAGAGGTTCGACTGTAGTCCCATTAATTTATATTAACTTCGCAATAAAACTGTCATTTTTACCTTGATAAGGACGTCAGCAACATTGAAACATTTTAATATGGAACATAACTTACAGTCTTTTTTTGTTTTTAGTGACTTCATAATTCTTCCAGGTTTTATCGATTTCAGTGCTGATGAAGTGGTAAGTTTTTGCACGTCACTAATTATAGACTACATACATGTATAAGATAAATTTATACTAAAACAGTTAGACTACTCACCCTCGCTTTCTACGTGGACATTC